ATCTGCATATTTTAGGTGTGACGAAAATTCTCTTGTGATTAGGTCAACCTCTGTGTAATCAGGTGATGAGAGGGAGACCTCCATAAGAATATCTATGACAAAATTGAATAGGAATGGAGACAGTGAGCACCCTTGACGAATATCACTCAATGAGTATACCTCCCCAGACATCTCACCATAGGCCCTAACATACCCACAAGTGTTCGAGTGGAGAGCCTTCAATAAGGTGATGTACTTACTCGACACGCCTTTCAGTGACAGACATTGCCATAAGATTTCTCGAACAATGGAGTCGAATGCCACCACCTTCAGGTAGAGAAATACAGCTGTTGTTGGACGTCAGTAAGCGTGCCTGTGTTCCAGGACCTGGCGTAGTCTGAATATTTGGTCGATATACTCGCTGTGGAGTCTAAAGGCTGCTTGTCTGGTTTCATCGGGCTGGCTGTTCCCGACCTCCACTCAGGCACGGGAGAATCATAGAACCTAAAATCTTAGACACTATCTTCATCAGGCTGATACCTCTTTGCTCATCACAAGACGACTTCTCACCTTTCTTCAAGACTCGGATAATCGGTGATTCAGACAAGTCACAGGGGATCCTATATGATTCCTATATACCAGCTAACACTTCCGTTAACCTGACTAAGAGCACTGCACCACCATTCTTGTATACCTCAACAGGTAGTCTGTCTGGTCCTGCTGCCCTTCCTCATTTCAGGTTACCTACTGCTTTCTCAACTTCTTCTAGTGTTGGGGGACCTATCTCTATATCCCATTCGGCATCCGACTAGATAGCGGGCAACGCAGTGGTGGCTGGAGGCCAGTTAAACTGCTCCTCGAAGTGTTCTGCTCATCGTTCCAGTCGTCTCCCCTGCCAGTGAATCGCTGATCTATCCTTTTCCACTATAGCCTCACTAACTGTTGTTCACCTTTTCGCCCAGTCTTCTTAATAAGTCTAAATAACTGTCTACTGTAACCAGTCCCCGCTGCATTTTCCATCTCCTTACCCTTCGCTGCCCACCACTCTTCAAGATTGTTGCGTAGACTTTTTCTCAGTATACTTTCTAGTTGCGCTCGCTCTTCATTGTACTCAAAGCCTGCAGGCAGGGATGCATTCACGTGCATCCATTAGTTCGGAAGAAGCTGCTGATATCCACTGGCTCTTTGTAGCCACTCTTTTGAAGTCGGCTACAGTCTTCAACGCTGCTTTCACACAAGACTGAAGATGGCACCAAGATTCTTCTCGATGAGTGATAGTCTTTTGTTCCAATAACTGCCTAGCCAACTTCTCACGCCTGAACACAGCTTTGGTGTTTTCCTTGTCCAGCAGAACTCGTAGTGGTTTTGTTGCCAAATTTTTTCTACGTCCATTGAGACGCAGGCATATACGCGCTCGGACCAACGCATGATCGCTGTCCACACACGTACTCCAGAAGGAGCGGCAGTCTTCCACCGATACTCTCCACCGATGACTAATAGCAATGTGGTATATCTGTGTCCATCGCTGAGTTGAATTCGGTGGACGACACGTCAGACAGTATCTTCCTTCATATCTGAAATTAATGCTGGCTAAAAGTAGGCGGTTATCTGAGCATAGTTGTAATAGGCGATCACCGTTATCTGTACGTTCAACTGGGATTCCGAAAGTGCCACCTAAGTGCCTTTCTGCCTCACTCAGTCTACCCACCTGTGCATTGAAATCACCTGCAACAACCACCACGTCCAAACGTTCGGCTTTCGAGAGGAGGTTAGACAGTTTATGGTAGAACTCGTCCTTCACTTCATCTCAGCTGCACTCAGTGGGTGTGTAAGCAGCAGAGATTACAAAGAGACAACGGAGAGTCTCACTATTCCTTTTAGTTCTCACCGTGCCGTTCAGCCTCATAGCGCAGAGGCGACTATCAACTGGGATCCAGTCTAATAGTGAGTTTCCTGCCCTAGTGCTTGCTTAGTGCTATACCTACACCTGCAAGACCACGAGAGCTAGCCAGCGAATCTCCAGAAACTCGAAGGGTGAATTTTGCACATTCACCAGATTGGTCAGGAGAGGTTAGGTGAATAACTGCACTTGGGTCCTGTATGTGTGTCTCACAAACACAGCACACATCCATGGCCCGAGTTGCTAGAGTCTTCGTCAATCAAGCCTGTTGACCAATTTCACCGAGGGTGTGGACATTGAAGGCTCCAATATGTAATTTGGTGCGTAGATTAAGGAGACCTAGAATGCTGTTCTGTGGACTCAGATCGTTGTCAAAGGCTACAGAGCTAGGAGAAATTGAAGATGATGCAGCATCATTAATTAAGAGACGTGAAGGAAGATTAGAAGGTACTGATGGGGGAGGTGGACAGTAGTCTGAGGAAACTTGAGTGCTGATCGAGTTGTGAGGACGGTTGACACTTCCCGGTTGCCCACACCGTGGAAGGCTATTTCTTCTTAAGGTACCTGAAAGAGATTTATGTGACCGCAGAGAGCATCGGACATCTGCTTGAGGCCTGTCACACGTAGCTTTTCGAGTATGATTATTTTCAAATTTTGTATTTTTGGGCTAGATGATCGACAGGAAACGATAAATGAACCAACACCGTCGGCCCGGCACACCGTGGTGTAGGATGGTGGAGTGTGTTATTTTTGGGGCTGACCTTTTCTAACCTGCGCCCCGCCTTCCACTGAGTAGGCAGCATCAGCACGGCACTGCTGGTCATTCAAGGGAGACATCTTACTGCTGTCACACTCCATCCAGCTGGCACCAGTATGACTTCACCCTCAGACCCTCATCATAGTGTAGTAATTTACACTACAACGGTAACTGCTTTTCGTCTAACCACTATCCAACAGACCTTTCTGGTATGGTAGAACCTCGAGGGAACAAGTGTTCCACCAGCATAGGTCGTTGGATCACTGTGATATGTAACTCCGACCACCACATCAAGGTAGCAGCTGTTGGTCAGGACATACTAAAACAAGTATATTTGCATATGAGAACCAATGTAATGTTGTAGTTCTAGTGGCTCCTAGATAAACATGTGTATATATGACTGTTAAATATTGTAGACTGAAGTTGGTTGGGAAGTGTGATGCTACAAATACGTTCTGTGGATGGGGTAAATAAAAAAACAATCTAGATCCAAATTTTCGGCTTGAAACTTTAAAAATCCACGGAACCTGGCATGGTCAGAGAAAACTACTTTAATATGGTGAGAAAAACAGTTACAACATTCATCGACTTATGAAAAGGATCTTTTCGAAACTCGAAAGCAAGTAGTCCCTTTAGTAGGCTTAATTAGTATAATTCGATTACTTTTAAAGAAACTAGAGGCACATGTTTCATTTTGCTGCGGTCAATTCCAGTTTGGACATTTTTTAGGTTTAGGAGCCTTAGTGAGGAAAACAATAATTACCGGGTAGGCAAATGTATGAACCTGATGAGTCCCAAATCGGACGAAACAGGCATCCTAGATTTCTCTGTTAGCCACTATCCAGCATAACTACTAAGACGAATAGTGATTAAGTTGAAATTCTGTTGTGAACTTCACATATTAGTAGTAGCATAACATAATGCTATCGACCGCATGCGCATATTCATCAAAGATTCTTGTTTAAGTAGATGTTAATAAACGAATTCACATAAGTAGTTATAGCGAGAATGATAAGTTTTTTATTACTCAGGTGTTGTGATTTTTAGAGAGATAATTGTCGATTATGGGGGCTCAGCTGCAGTCGCACATATCGTTGAGATAAATCAGTTTTTTAACACTATCAATGTTCAGATCGATGATATATATATATATATATATATATATATATATATATATATATATATATATATATATAAACTACATACTTTTTTTTTACATTTCCAACTGATTCTGCAAGTTCAGCTCTTTTATCGACTACATATATTAAATCAGCAATCAGTTCTTCCTCCCGCACTTTTTCTTCTTTGGTTTTCAAGATGTCTAAAAAGTAATGTTATCGAAGAAAATCAAAATTACTTGATATACACTAGAAGAATTACAAACTAAACGATACAAACAGAGTGAATATGATCATCTATCAACAAAATATAACTAAAAGATTATCAGTAACATTTCAAAAACAGATGTAAACAAAAGAACTATGAAATCATCATACATAACAAATTCCCTGATTGAAGTAATCAACAAGGGAATCACTCGATATACAAAAGTATTCAATCCATTGCTCTATTCAAAATAAGAAGCAGTAAATAAAAACTAGGGCACACTAATATGAAATGCCATCTGCATAAAACTATTCGCATGCCCATACTGTTGTGCATAGTCAGAAACAAGTGGATGAACACAAATTTTCTAACGGACAAAATTACACTGCTATAAGAGATACTTGAACGCTTGTTGATTCCCTTCTACTACTTTTCTTCTCGCGTTACAATTCACATAGAATCAGTCGATAGGAATATAGGACGTGGCAATACTGTGTAACGGTTTAATTTCCGGTCACCTGACACAGACAGACCAAGGCAGAAGACAACAAGATGGAAAAAAAGAACAATCAAGAAGCAATTCAATTAACTACCGTTCAGTGATCAACGATAACATTGGTAAGGCTATATCGCAAAATGACAGAAGAAAATTTGAACTATTGGATTTTAACCTAGTGACTCAAAGGTAACGTGCTCGCCACGGAACTTGAAGGTCTTGGGCTCAATCCCCGATTGTGTCATCAGTGTATACTGGTGATGGGTCCCATACTTATAAAAAACATCTGTCCAGTGTTCACAGGTTTTCAATGATTCTCCAATTGATATCAGCCTGTGATGAATACCACTTGAAAAGGAAGTAGTGTAAAGTAGTAGAGAGTCGTAAAAGGGGAGGAAGAAAGGAAAAAAGAGTAACCGAATTCGGCATAACGATTAAGATAATGTATGGATGCATCTGCGCCAGTTAGATCGATTCTGAGCCATATCAGTTAGTCTTCAACAACCAGTTCGGTTGTCATGGTTACCCCAACTGGGAGAACATACGTAGGTAAGTTTCAGAGAAAAAACTGAAACTAAGGATCATAACAAAGTGATTTATTATTTTTTCCAGATACTCATTACGAGCATTTCAACCAAAGAAATAAGAAAATAAGACAATAAAATAATAGTTAAAATGCACAAGATAAGTACACATTTTACTTGAGTAATGTCCAATTACATCACAAAATAATCAGTAAAAGGTTATACCAAATAATAGATGGGTAATTGTTTGAAAGATTATGTGGTCTGGAGGTTCATGTACTTAGTTGTTTTCCTTGACTTCACTTTGAAGTTGACCTTTCTGACACTACTAAATTCTACTAGGCATAAAGAAAATACTTTAGAGAAATGCAAACAGCGACTTTGCAACAATACTAAGCACTGTTTATCTTTTACTGGTGTTTTTTAATAGTTATGTTAAGTAATCCCTTCAAAAAATGCTACAGGGACTATTCCAACTCATGCAATCAGCATGCAGCGAAATAATTATCTCATGTAAATCACAAAATACATATGGATTTTTATGCTAGTATAGGAGCCAGACCTATTTTGATGGTTAGAAATACTACCTGGCTACTTGAATACTGTTAGTAGAGTGCAACTAGAAATTGGAGTACAGCAGTTGAAAGCCGAGGAACGCAATCAACAAGGGACACCTAACAGTTACTTTTATACATGCCTGACTGAACAACTAATCAGTCAGAAAGCTACGATCCTAAAATATACATAATTCGTGACATTCAATTTCGAAATGCACATGATGAAAAATCATATCCACCACCCAACATAACTTGAAGAAATCTCTCGGAAAATTTCTATGATAACATTGAAAAGGTAAGGGAATTACGTAAAAGTGTGCTTTTATTGTGCACTAGTGGCTCATTGGTTTAAGGAGTTGACTTCCAACCAGTGGATCATGCGTTCGAATACCGTTTTATCTATCGAGCTCTGGGTAGTCATTGGCCTCAAACAATAGGTGTGGCTCATTGCCCACTTCATGAATGTGCACAAGGTTGCTGAGTGCATTTCTATTCGTGTTTTTGTTCAATTCTCATCTGGCTCAACCAATAGATAAGAAAAGTTTTGAACAACACGGTACACACATGAAAATTGCGGTTGAGATCAAATACAAATACATACACTTTTGCCATTGGGGATAAAGCATTGTGTTACGAGGTAATTGACGATAATAACCAGAAATTGAGCATTAGATAACAAGTAAGGAAACAGAATAAATAAGAAATCATAATGAATTGAGGTTAAGACGAAAAAGAAGTCATGCAGGACTAACAGTAATAAGAAGTAACTATTGAATAACACGCAAAGAAAAGGAATAATTGCTCACAAATATTTCATCACTATATGGTCATATATAGAGTGAAATGCGACATATACTACCTGAAGGTAAATAAACTGTTCAGAAAAATATCACGTATGTTTTAGTTACAAATATTTTCTTTCAGTGAAACTGCTTGGAAAACACGTAGTAAGTTAATGATAGTTTCTAATTCATCATATGCAACAAAGATATCAGTAATATATAATCAACATGAAAATTAACTCTTATAGCTTAAGATGTATTTTAACTTCTCTTTGAAAAATGCTTTTTCGTCAATTTTAGTTAAGAAATCAAAGCTTTTTTTCAATCATACTCAAATAAACTACGCAAACAATTATATTATTGCTTGTATTATCTCCTTGTTGATTGGACTGAATTGAACAGAGTAAAAACAATAGCTTTAGCAGAATATCATGAATCTAATTTATTTTGTGGTTTCTCATCAGCTGCTTACAGCCTATTGCTCGTCATCTTATTAACAGTGGATATGAAGTCGATATTCAGAAATCGTTCAAAATAATTGATAAACAAATGAATTCGAACTTGGCGCCTTCCGCTGAAGCATCAGTCATCAAACGATTAAGACTAGACTTATGTGTTCAAAAAGAAACAGTTATCAGCCTGTGCCTAGTATAGTAAAGACTTTTGTTGACAATCATCATGTTTTTTACATATCAATATCGATTCATGACAAGTTGGTTTTTTGTTTTGTATTTGTTATTTTACATTCACATCCTTGACCTAATTATCTGGATCCTACTCACATTGGCTCCTAGTTAACATAAATCTTATAATCTTTCAGGTACTTTGTGCAAGCTTTCTTAATACGTTGAATATACTTGACGACCCTTCTTTTCCCGCTTCCGCTCTGGAATATTCGCCCAATCGTCCGATTGATGGGCAAACTTAGGTCTGCAATTTTATTCACTCAGTTCGTGTGTCTCCGATTACTTCATATCGATGATACCTTTAGTTCAAGCCGGCAATTTTCTGTCAAGCTGATTCGAGTATGCAAACATTTTGCATAAATTGATGTTAAAATTATTTTAGGTTGTAAGTAGCTGATGAAAAACAAAGAAATAAAATGAATCAATCCTATTCTGCCAAAGGTGTTGTTTTTGTGTTATTTAGATTTGTGAATGGAAAGAACTGTATTGACTGGATTGATCTGTCTCCGTCGGCGTATAAGCTTCTACGCAGATAACACAAGCAACAACATAAAAACAGCATCCATAGCACAAGAAATGGCTATGGTGACCCGGTGGCTTAGTAGATAACGTTCAGGCATTTGAAGCTATTGGTCTTCGGTTCGAGTTTTAGTGGGATCAACGTCGCTCACTGGGAGGCAGATACACCCAGCTGAAGAGTCCCGAATAGGTCAAAAAACGAGCTTCAGATTCCACTGCTAGCCAATATCTATCATTACTAAAGGAAATCTATTTTTTTAGCAAAGTCAAATCTTTAACTTCGGTAGTAAAGTTAGTAAACTGTTATTCAGTAGTGGTGGTTAGTAAAGAAACAAAGCATCTGCGTCCCCTCCTTGGGAGCTTTAACTTGATGTGTCTGCGTCTTAGTCTATGTCACCACGATAACTCAAAACTAGTAATCATCACCACAAATAGTACTGTTCTATACAATTTCAAGCAAACGAGGAATTCAAAGAACAGCTCAAATTTTCATAGTATCAAAGAAGTAGTACAGTTCAGTAATCAATAGAATTTCATGCACTGAGGTTGTGAATAAAACATTTCGAGGATACAAATCAAATATAGTCCAGCAGTTTAACGAATAAACCACTAAACATCATTCAACTGTTTAAAACAATCAACTATTGACGACACAGGTATGCATTTCTATCCCAACAACTGTCATCAACTTTTTGATGACGTCGAACATCAGAGCTGTTCAACATTGCAAAATATTATTCAGTTAGTAAATAGTTAATACTATTTCAAAGCGTAAACTTTATACGAAATCTTTGAATAATAACCAGTATTGTGTAAATACTTCACATACAAGACAAACGGTAATCGGTTAACTTTGATCTTAAAAATATTTGTAATTAGTTTAGCGTAAGATATTCATCAGTTTAAACTAGTTTCCTAAATTGTTAGAAGTAAATTTTTCAACAGTCTCTTTCATCAGCCAGTCACAAATGAATTTAAAATTTCACCTTGCATAGTTATGTAGCAGGCTAATCATTATTTGGAAAAAGTTTCTTTCTGTTGAAAGCACACTTTTATACCGCATATATATATATATATATATATATATATATATATATATATATATATATATATATATATATATATAGGTCAAATTACAAGGAAGTTTGGCTGAAGTTTCACTGAATTATCAAAACAAAATCCAATACAACTTTGAACCGCAGACGTTACACTATTCTCACCACTCTAAGGAGAAAAATTCAAAGCCGAAAATAAGAAACCGAGAAATCAGGTTGATAATCATCATGAACTAACATCAGTTGGAGAAACGTTGGAAACCTAGGGGCATCGGGTGGTTGTTTCGTCCTAGTATGGGACTCCCCAGCAGTGCACACCCATGGCCCCGGGAGGGATCAAACCCAGGACCTTCAGGTTTCGTGCTCAGCAAGTTACCGTTGGACCAGTGGGTCAGAATCCAGTGGTAACGTGCTCGCCACGGAACTGAAGGTCTTGGGCTCGACCTCCGGCAGTGCAATCGGTGTTTACTGGTGAGGAGTCCAATATTTAAAAAACATCTGTTTAGTGCTCCCATGTTTTTAGTAGTTCTGCAACTGTTGTCAATCCATGATGAATACCAACCTGAAATCAACAAACAGATCTCGACAAGCCTCAAAATGAGGGATGTATTTACAGAGGAAAAACAAAACTATGCAGAAGGCTATCCGAATCTAAACTGTACCATCTGGCACTCCCGAATGCTGACTTCCGTCAATTTTAATTTTGTTTTTTTTCCAACCACCTACACTTTCACATCTTCAATTAAGTTCTCTTGTTGTAATAAAAGGATTGTTTCACACTCTGATTATTCTAATATATCCACCATTTAACTTTTAGTCAACAGTATACGTTGCAGAAAGTGGAAGCTACACATAAGTAATGCATCCAAATCATCAATATGGATGCATATTCATAACCTCACTAACAGATTTACATAGCATACCTGAAAACGTAATCCTGATATTTATAGTACAATAAACAAATACAGGTAGAATATTACACCACTACCGTATCATTAAATAAACCAGCAGCATGTATTAAGGATAAGAAAAAGTGCTATTTTTTAAAATGCACAGTAGGATATTAAACATCTTCCAAATAAAAATCCATGATTGATACGATACAACGCTCTAAGTAATAGTACTACAATTAATTTATTATTAAGAAAAACTCAGGCTATTGGGAAATATTTGAAGAAATTTCAAGTGGATCAATCACAGCAGTATCCATCAGTAATGAATAGAAATTGACAGTGACCTAGTATTCTAGGTTACTGTTCTTGAAATTAGTACACAGTAAATATTTAATAATTTGTAGGAACCACTGAATGTCTGTCTGTTTAGTGTGTGATAATGATAACAAACTAATAGGTTCTAATCGCATATATGGGTTTTGTATTCTACTAAAACCACTAGGAACCCAAGGGACAAATAATAATAATAATAATAATAATAATAATAATAATAATAATAATAATAATAATAATAAAACCTATCACCCTCACTACATTGTTGTCTATCAGTAAGAAGAGTTCTAAGTAAATCGTACCCTAAAAATTATCATATACCGAAATCAACTCTGAAAAGCAAGTTACGTTTTCGAATAAGTAACAATACAAAATTCCTAGTTGTATATTTTAAGATGTACCGTGAGGTTCATTAAGAAATGCAAATCCATTTCAATATTGAGACAGAAGTCACAAAGTCCAAACAATAAAAATTCAACAATGATATTAAATTAAAATCTGTGAACCTACTAATATAATCACCAAGATCCTACACACATCTAACTTCGTAAGCATGTAGTTGACACCGATACAAGATTGATGCCACCCAACCTTCGGAAGCAATAAAACGAGTTTGACTAGGCATGCACTACAGGATACTTCTTTCTGATTAATGTAAAGATTCCTACCTTGTTTGGCCAATAGCGTCCGTAGCTCATACTCTAGCTCTGCATGACGATCCTCCAATTCTTGACAACGAAGTCTGTTAACAGGAAATAAAGGAGTGTCAATAAGCCACTAAAAGTAAAACTATGCTGAGCCAAGAATAAGAAATCTGAAATAACTTGTATTAATAACTATATGCACTCTTTCTACACACGATACTACTTTTTAGATGAAAGCTAAATGAATGTTTTTTAAAATGCCAAAAGTGTAGGTAATTAGGTAGAAAACTTTTCAGACTTATCACGTTGGTATTCCGTTATTTCAAAAGACTATATTAACAATTCGTATAAAAGTGATAGCCGAGTTTATGTTTCCCATAAGAACATTTATACTCCCACTAATCTACTAACCTCCAGATACTCCTTTGCAGAAAGTTATTGTCACTACATTATTATTATTACAACAAAAGTCACTCTATTTTCAAAATAACACGTAAAAGTTTGACTCTCTCATGAGAATGTTTGCACACATTCTCAAAACTGCTCATCTGCATCATGCATTTAGACTAATGAAACAAAAAAACAGAACCGCAGGATGTGACTATGATTTGTCTACAACTCCATGAGTATCTTAGGAAAATATGACCACTAGGAGACACATTCTCAAGTTTAACAGTCACAAGATGAAACGAAATGCTTTTCCAGACCTGCTTCACTCGCTCTAAGTGAGCTCAGAATGTAGCAGCTTAAAACAACTTTTATGATTATACCTTCATAAACTAACTTTTTAACATAGAATGATGGCTCCCAATCCACTGTAAGTGGAGCTGCACCTCAGTGGTTTAAGGAGATGACTACCAACCATAGGTTCAAGCCCCGTTCCATCACCGGGTTTGGGTAGCCAGGTAATATAGCTAGCCTTCACATAATAGGTGTGGCTCATTACCTACGACGCGGATGTGCACAAGGCTGAGTGCTTTTCATTCGTTCATTCATTTAATCTACTATAATGCATGTGGTCTACATCCTAGTGGAAGAACCTGGATTATCTCCGCAATGCGATACTACTTCTTGACCTGAAGACAGTATTCGACTAAGTCGATCTAAAGGTTTTATGGCACTGTTTCTCGCTCTGAGTGGCAGTGAGTAAGTACATCACTGTTGAAAGCTCTGTACTCGAACACGCATGGGCATGTTAGAGCCCATGGTGAGTTGTGCACATCGAGTGGTCTCCGTCAAGAATATCCACTCTCTTCATTTTTATTGAGATTTATCGCTGACGCACAAATGGAGGTCTCCCTCTCGTTGTTTGGATTCGTGGTGGTTGACTTTGTTACAGGAAAAGTATTGATATATTCACAGTATGCAGATGACATAATTCTGTTGGGTGAAGATACTGACAAGAAGCAGTCTTCCGAAAGCAATGAGTAGTAATTTGTGGGTGTTTGGGATGTACTTTGCGACTACCAAATGCAAACTTTTGCTCCAGGACTGGTTTTCACCCGTGCTGCCACTAACTATAGCGAGTGAAGTGGTTGAGTGCGTTGAAGACCACTTACCTAGAAAGTTAGATCAGTCCTCGTAGGTCACTGAGCATCACAGATATTAAGGACACGACTGGGTTTGTCAACCTACGGCATCTGCGGCACCGATTGTTTATTAAACGTCAAGTGTACTGCGCTTCCGTTTGCTTTGTTCAAATGGGTGAATGCGAAACATGGTCAACAAAGGTAGATGACATAAGAAGGCTTCAGGTGTTTGGCCTTCGCTTACCTTGTAGAGCAGGCTGTGTCGTACGGTCTCACCACGTGAGTAACGTAGAAGCCACATACAGAGTTTTAAGGAAGTGAGGAGGATGTCAGCCTTCATTGACTCATATGTTTGAGACGTGCTAAACATGCTTGATCATTTTCTACCTCATCGCACAATGTTGGTTTAAGTGGGTTGAGGTCGGAAAAGGGTCAGCGGTGGCCGGATTAATAAATAGCAACAATGCTTGAAATTCTTGACGGTTTGTCTGAGCGATATGGGGAAATGTAGACTATGTGGTCGGGGTAAACGGGATAACGTGGACCAGTGGTTGGAGACCCCAAGTGATATGGCTGAGAAGCTGTCAATGGCGCAGATGTATCCGCACATTATCATCACCTTAATAATCATACTGAATTTATTATTTTCTTATTCCTGCTTGTTATCGTATCATACCCTTTCACTACTTTTGACTGATTTTTCGATACTTCTTTATCTTTCATCTTTGTGCTTACTCGAATGATGTGCAGATATGAAGTGTGGCAAAACTGGACCATTATGCAGTAACGCCAAGCTCCATGTTGATATTGTCTATCTGCATGTAAATGCTATATTCAAATACCTCACCTACATAATCAATTCAGATGCTTATTGAATTGATAAATTTATTTTACTGTTCAAAGATTTGTTATCCATTTAATTCTCCTGACAGGTGTAAATTCAAGCTATTGCTTTGGTTACCTAGCTTTAAAGTAATATGTTAAGCGTTTGGGATCTTAATCAATCTACCGAGTTCTGGACATGCAGGTAGTATCACTAATACTTAGGATAGATATGGCTTATTGTCTAGCATAAAAAAGTGTACAAGGTTTCTGAGTCATCACCTTACTATTTAGGGAAAACACAAAATAATATCTTTGGTAATAACTTTTAACTCATAGTAGCACGAAACGGAATACGCAATTAATTATCAACAGTAATGTGTCAAAAGAAATATACAGAATAAACTATGGCTTCACTTGTTAGATAAAAGAGATGAAATAACACTAGTTACCAATATGGGAGTAAAATTTGAGCACTGTGGTAGGATTTAACTTTCTTCTAGTTGATTTAGATGTATCACAGTGAATCAGTATCTTCTACTGGGTTACATTTCAAACACAACTTATTGTCCATTGTCATCAAGAAGCATGAAATATCGTTTAAGATTCTATAAGGCGTATACATTTTTACGTCAGTGTTATAATAACAGCATATGGAATTCAACCATAACTCCGATCCTCATCTGGAATTTACGTATTCTTCTTCATTCTCAGAAGTTAGAGGTATTATAGTTAAGACCAATCAGGAGCGTTCCAAATGCCTCTGAAATAGAAAATCCCATTAACTTTCGATTACATTTAGATAAATGGATCGACCTATAGTTGCTACCTTGACGTGGTGGTTGGCGTTTACATATCACAATGATCCAACGACCTATGCTGGTGGAACACTTGTTCCCTCGAGGTCCTACCATACCAGAAAGGCCTATTGGATAGTGGTTAGAAGAAGAGCAGTTACCGTTGTGGTGTAAATTATTACACTATGATGAGGGTCTGAGGGTGAAGTCATACTGGTGCCAGCTGGATGGAGTGTGACAGCAGTAAGGTGTCTCCCTCGGGTGACCAGCAGTACCACGCTGATGCTGCCTCCTCAGTGGAAGGGGGGGAGGTTAGAAAAGATCGGTCCCGAAAACAATACACTCCACCATCCTACACCACGGGGTGCCGGGCCGACGGTGTTGGTTCATTTTTCGTTTCCTCTCAACAATCCGGTCCCACAAAATACAAAATTTGAAAATAATCATACTCGAAAGTCTACATGTGACAGGCCTCAAGCAGATGTCCGATGCTCTCTGCGGTCACATAAATCTCTTTCAGATACCTTAAGAAGAAATAACCTTCCACGGTGTGGGCAACCGGAAAGTGTCAACCGTCCTCACAACTCGATCAGCACTCAAGTTTCCTCAGACTTCTGTCCACCTCCCCCATCAGTACCTTCTATTCTTCCTTCATGTCTCTCAAACTAACGATACTACATCATCTTCAATTTCTCCTAGCTCTGTAGCCTTTGACAACGATCTGAGTCCACAGAACAGCATTCTAAGTCTCCTTAATCTACGCACCAAATTACATATTGGAGCCTTCAATGTCCACACCGTCGGTGAAATTGGTCAACAGGCTTGATTGACGAAGACTCTAGCAACTCGGGCCATGGATGTGTGCTGTGTTTGTGAGACACACATACAGATAGATCACATTGCTATTAGTCATCGGTGGAGAGTATCAATGGAAGACTGCCGCTCCTTCTGGAGTACGTGTGTGGACAGCGATCATGCGTTGGTCCGAGCGCGTATATGTCTGCGTCTCAATGGACGTGGAAAAAATTTGGCAACAAAACCACTACGAGTTCTGCTGGACAAGGAAAACACCAAAGCTGTGTTCAGGCGTGAGAAGTTGGCTAGGCAGTTATTGGAACAAAAGACTATCACTCATCGAGAAGAATCTTGGTGCCGTCTTCAGTCTGATGTAAAAGCAGCGTTGAAGACTGTAGCCGACTTCAAAAGAGTGGCTACAAAGAGCCAGTGGATATCAGCAGCTTCTTCCGAACTAATGGATGCACGTGAATGCATGCCTGCCTGCAGGCTTTGAGTACAATGAAGAGCGAGCGCAACTAGAAAGTATACTGAGAAAAAGTCTACGCAACAATCGTGAAGAGTGGTGGGCAGCGAAGGGTAAGGAGATGGAAAATGCAGCGGGGACTGGTTACAGTAGACAGCTATTTAGACTTATTAAGAAGACTGGAGCGAAAAGGTGAACAACAGTTAGTGAGGCTATAGTGGAAGGGATAGATCAGCGATTCACTGGCAGGGGAGACGACTGGAACGATGGGCAGAACACTTCGAGGAGCAGTTTAACTGGCCTCCAGCCACCATCGCGTTGCCCGCTATCTAGTCGGATGCCGAATGGGATATAGAGATTGGTTCCCCCAACACTAGAAGAAGTTGAGAAAGCAGTAGGTAACCTGAAATGAGGAAGGGCAGCAGGACCAGACTACCTGTTGAGGTACACAAGAATGGTGGTGCAGTGCTCTTAGTCAGGTTAACGGAAGTGTTAGCTGGTATATAGGAATCATATAGGATCCCCTGTGACTTGTCTGAATCACTGATTATCCGAGTCTTGAAGAAAGGTGAGAAGTCGTCTTGTGATAAGCAAAGAGGAATCAGCCTGATGAAGATAGTGTCTAAGATTTTAGGTTCTATGATTCTCCCGTGCCTGAGTGGAGGTCGGGAACAGCCAGCCCGATGAAACCAGGCAGGCAGGCTTTAGACCTGGCCACAGATGAATCGACTAAATATTCAGACTACGCCAGGTCCTGGAACACAGGCACGCTTACTGACGTCCAACAACAGCTGTATTTCTCTACCTGAAGGTGGTGGCATTCGACTCCGTTGTTCGAGAAGTCTTAAGGCAATGTCTGTCACTGAAAGGCGTGTCGAGTAAGTACATCACCTTATTGAAGGCTCTCCACTCGAACACTTGTGGGCATGTTAAGGCCTATGGTGAGATGTCTGGGGAGGTATACTCATTGAGTGATATTCGTCAAGGGTGCTCACTGTCTCCATTCCTATTCAATTTTGTCATAGATATACTTATGAAGGTCTCCCTCTCGTCACCTGATTACACAGAGGTTGACCTTATCACAAGAGAATTTTCGTTAGATCTTAAATATGCAGATGACATGCAGATGTGGTTCTCACCACTCAAATGCAAATTATTGCTGCAGGATTGGTCTTCAACTGTGCCCCACCATGGCTAACAATGGAAAGTGAATTGGTTGAGTGTGTCGACCAAATCACTTACCTGGGAAGTAGGATCAGTCCTGGTGACTGGCTCAGTGGCCGACGAAATGTCTACACGGATACAAAAGGCTCGGTTGGCTTTTGCCAACTCACATCACCCATGGCGCCACCGTGATGTCCGATTGAGTATAAAGGGTGACGTGCACTGCAAAGCAGTCCGGTCTGTTCTTCTGTATGGCTGTGAAAGATGGCGACTGAAGGTGGGAGACATGAGAAGGCTGGCTTCAAGTGTTTGACCATGGTTGCCTTCGTAGTATAGGCCGTATTCGATGGTGTCGCCACGTGAGTAATGCTGAAGTCAGGTTGAGGTGTTAAGTTTTAGGGAGTAGAGGTGAATCAGTTGACGAGGTTATGAACCTTCATGGACTGAGATGGTTGTGACACGTATTACGTATGCCTAGTTGTTGATTGCCTCGTCACACAATGTTGGCGGAAGTAGGTTTAGGCTGGATAAAGGCCCGAGGTGGCCAGACTAAAACATGGCCCCAATGTATGAAGTTGTTGAGTGTTGGTTTGAGGTATGTGGGGCGATTGAGACTAGGTGGTTGGGGTCTGCGGGAGAGGAGGAAGGAGTGGTTGGAGACTGGTGGTGATGGCGTGCATGGCTGATAACCGATGTCGGTGGCGCAGATGTATGGTATATACATATTATCGTCACCTTAACGATGCTATACCGAATCTCACCATTTTCTCATTCTTCCTTTCTCTCTTTCTGTTGTTCATATTTCTTTTGACTGAATTTTCTTATCTTCATGTTGCTCTTCATTGCCTTTTTACTTGATGTGCTGATATGAGGTGTGGCAACTGGGACCTGTTACGCAGTAATGCCCTGGTCCTATGTTGATTTTGATGATGATGAGATAAATGTCAAGCAATTTGAATCTTTTCACGTTTGTGACTAAGACATACATGTTTTGTGAATTGATTAAAATTTCAACTTAATAAAAACGTTTGTTGTAGATTTAAAGCATTAATCTATCTAGAAAGGAAGACAATCAGGTCTCAGGGAGTTCATTATCTAATAGTTGTTTCAGTGTATGGAATGTGCACTGTATTACTCCAGATTTCATAACATACGACGTATCTTTGACAGTTATATGAAGAAGCTATATATTATGTAAAACAGTTTCCAAAAGAAACTTAACATCTATCGAAGCTTATACGGTCATGAGAATAAAAAACTCAAGGTGTTAGGGTACTCCATTTATGAATCTTTTGTCTCTGAATTAACATTACGAATAATTTGGCGCATATTTGTCTTACCCTGATTTCCTGAAAAAACACCGAATACTAACAAATATCAAGGATCATCATAAAGTACAGAAGAAAAAGTGAGCAGTAGATGATTAAGAAGCTACCTTTGAAGTAATTCTGATTCTCTCTTGAAAAGATCATCCTTTAATTGCACAGTATGAAGCCACTGATTTAGCAATTCTTTGATGTTACCATCCTCTTCACGCACTTCAATGTGATAAAAGAAAAGTATGCATTTGTGAGTAACAAGGATGAAACAAACAGTTATAAAAAGGAAATGACTGACGAACTAAGGTGAGATTATTACACAGAAGTTTGAGTAATGTAAAGAGTAACCATGGTCGTATATATTGAAGTATATGAAATTATATTCATAACGAATAAAAAATGGTGAGCGAGAAAACTAACCACAAATTATTACGGAACATAGCAACAAACTCCCATAGTATGTAATGTCATCAGCAAAATGCTTCTCCAAAGGGACTAAAACAATCATGGAAAACAGACTAGTTGCTAGTTGCCATACAGAGTCAGTACAGAAATGCCAGTTCAAATTGTTCTGTAAAACGTATGTATGAAGACGTAGCTCATCGGCCTTCATGAAAAGGGCTTTGGGTTCAAGTTCTACTTCACCTACTTTGACCTGGGTAGCCGGGTAGTATCGCAAGACTCTGAACAACAAGCGTGGCTCATAGTTTAAGACAAAAATACGTATCGGGCTGAGCTCAGTAGGTGAAACTGCTGAACTCTACACTAAAATGTTTTAAACACTTGTGGGTTACTCAACTTTGAGTCAGTTAATCTAGAGTAACTTTGAAGGCAAAACGATGGTGACATTTACAACGAATCCTAAATTTCGGTATTGTATTGACAGGAATTTAGCTTAAAAACAAGTAGTGTAACCAGTTCACATACGTGTAGAAATGTAAACCAACTACTAACAGAAACGAGTGAACTCTAAGTACGTAGGAAAGTAGCTAGCTTCTTATCGCACAGCGTTGGAAACCAGCGACGCTGGCTACATGTACTCCTGTCTTCCCGTAATTTTTCTTCCCAGCCTTTTAGTAGAAAATCGTCTATTTCCTCATCAAATCTCACGAAACTTCGCCAAAGGCAATCAAAAAAAGAAGTCTTAGCACCATAAAAAAAACTCATCTCCGTTGGACGACACAGAATCTCACTCAAGTGTAACACCCAGGACCAGAGTGATCTACTAACTCGAGAAACTTCATTTCTTTTTTATCTCTCAGTACTCCTAACAATTAAATGTCTTTACGTTTCTTCTGTAATATGAAAACTGTCAAGAACCATATTGTGAAGTCAATACAGATATTTGGAATCACAAACAACGGCTTACTCACTTGATTTAATTTTTGTTGTATATTTCTAGCCGACATCTCGAGCTTGAAAGTTCATCGTTTATTTTATACAATTTTCTGTGCAACTCTGAGTATGGAATAAAATCACTTTTTCGATCACCTCTGACTTCACGCCTGCATAAAACAGGAATGGGTGGGGCGGGTCTTTTGGTAACACTTGACTTGACAACTGTTGAACCTACACCACCAACAGACGAAGGTAGTGAGGATTTTACTGAACGGCCAGCAAGTGAGGAGGAAGATTGCGGTTTTGATAGACACCCATAAGCTAACAAGCTAGATAAGTCACATATGGAAGAGTGAGCGGTTCGGAGATCCATTGACTCGTTTGAAACTGAACCCTCTACAGGGAAACTAGGACTGTTTTCTTTAAAAGTGCGTGGGGAACTCTTGTCAAGACAGGTAGAAGATTGGGAGCTTTGTGAATTGAGTGCTACAGAGGAACTGGATTTTACAATGTTGTAGGTGGTATTCGCATCTGATATTGATGGCTCCTCATCGTCAAATGGATTATAAGGCTTCTGTATGGCCTTAACATTGTTTATGGAACCACAAGGTGACTCATCTCCAAACGGGTTTAATGCAGCTGGATATGATACAGGATTTTGCGAGGAATCAAAACGATTATTAGTTTCGCAAAAATTTATGCTGGATGTGCTGTTAGTCTTCATTTTCAGAGGACCATTTGGTTTAGAAGAAATATTATTGCTTAGGATATCTGGCAATGGTGGTCTACAAGGCGCTCTGCGAGCTGCTGATTATTCTTATTGCTTTCACAGGTGGACTCTTGTTTTGAAATAGGCGTAAAAAAAGTTGCATACACTTGTGAAACCGTGGGTGAACGGTCGGGCGTGCACTCTTCTGCATGAGATGACTCAGTAGGTTGCAAGTCTTTGGTGACTGTAACAGTCTTAATTGTCCGATTTCTTTCCTTAAGATAATTCAGTTGATTGTCTCGATAGCAGCTACGATGATAATTCTTACTGAAAACAGTCAGTAGTTCTAGACGGAAAATGCTTTGACCACACAAGGAGCAGGAAGGTATTACCACTTCTTTTTCACACTGCCAAAAAATAGTGTTACATTAATTTTTACATACCAAGCATGATAAATCTGTCTCTGGAGAGGCAGTAAGCAACATTTGATCTACATCAACAATCGAAAAAAAAACCACTCTTTACCAGAAAATTTCCGAGATATAGCTCTGTGCAACCTTGAGACATAATCCAATATTAAATTCTCATCTAGTCTTCTTTCAGAAACCACGTCATGGGGACTTATAAGCACAGGAACATCTAATTTCGTTTCTGCAACAAAGAACGCCTAAATATGCATGCGTAGTCTCATGAAGTGCAAAACCAAACTAACTAGTTCCAAGTTTTTCACAGCCTCTTCCGGTGAGAGAGCATTAATATCTCTAAAAGAAATAAATTAGACAGGTTAACCTGTCTAATTTGAACAACATACACAAGGTCGGGAAAATATTTGTGAATTAAAGCACAGAAAGCAAGTCCATCTTTCCAGGAAGATGAGAAATTTTCGACATTAATAGATGGATAATTCTTTAGTTCTTCAATACACCAACAAGAAGCGAGTCGCAAACACTACCTCTCATCCCAGCTGGGAATATTTTAAAGTTGACACACTTGCAAGTTCAGCACTTACTAATCCATTGCGAAATATAAACAAACATGTGAGCCTCAAAATATTAACAGGATATTATGAGCTTACAGTAGTCAGCGTTTTCCTGAGTTTTTGAACATTGGACAAATTAACTACCTTCTGCTATATATGGGGGGGGGGGTTGAGTAGGAGTCAGTTCACTGACATTAAAGTCCCTGCAGAAAATGGAACCTGAAAATGACATGGAGGCTATGAACCCAGAGGCATCTGATAATATATTGTCGTAGTTTGCTGTGAAAATGGGAGGACAATACTATGAACCGAAAAGGAAGGACAGGCGGCCCACAGGCTTTAAAACAGCCTAAACAGATCCCTCTATTCCTTATCTCCGGGATGTTGCACTGCAATGAATCTAAAGGTCAGTTAAAATCCAGGACGATCTCCCCCGAAGCCATTTATCCTATCGCCATCACATAGTGCAGTTGACACGGCAAATATATAAGTCAGAAACATCTGACGTACTCCTGTCTCTCGTCATAATGACTGAAGGAAAGCATAACAACTCAAGTAGGGTCAAACTGAGCATCTGCTTGCGGACTGAACAGAAATTTATCATACACGTTGAGAATGAGAGCCTAAAAGGGTGATGGCAACTCAAGGTTTTATAAAAGAACATGTTATGAAAGCCACTAGGAAAAGAATATTTGCCGTCGTCAAGTTGTGTGGTATCAGACAAATGATTCGTTTAAAAATCGTAAAGAAGAGCCATGGTACAGTTGAAGGAAGTAGTTGGGTTAGGCATAGTGATCGAATTAACCTTGACTCTCAGAATACCAGAAGAGTGAGAGAGAAAGACTGAGTTACTCTGACGATCTGTGGTAATGCGGCACTTTGTTAACACATCCAGTAGGGTGATAGTTTAAAATGCCTTTGTTCATTCTACCAGTGTGGGTAGGTATGGGGCATAGGGTTATGAAGTTGTAGTCTGGTGAACATTTTTTTATTTCTGCTTGTTGTAGTTAGGTATTCTGAACGTTTACCTTCCATGAAGGGTAGTTTCAGACATGGTCTGTTCCTTAAGTAATTAATTCTCGATGCAAACAAGCCAATGTCTAGAACTGAATTATTTTTCTGCAACGAGAAAAAAACAGACAAAGCAGCCGGCGGAGAAAGCAAGAATTTCAACAAGCAGTGTTTTCTATGTTCACGTTTCTCCCTACTTAACTTCCCTTGCTATGGCTTTCATTGTATGTCGTTTTTCTACAGAGTATTTAAAAATATAAATTTCATGCTGTTATTTGGTGTAGGATTTCTGTTTTTGATTACCGCGTTGGGTGGGGCAGAATGTGCCGTCAGTTTGAGGTGGTAACTTATGGAAGTCTCCTCAATGCTTCGTATGAAAGGTCAGTATATGTGTGGTGGCTCTCATTATACGTTAAGAGGGTCGAGTATACGAGTGTCGTGAAAGAGACTGCTGATGTATTCGGTAAGCTGTAGAAGTCACCAGATGGTAAGACGTCAGCCAGTAGCCAACCGAATTCAGAGGTTGATTTGGAGGCCTTCACTTCAGCTGGAAGTCTGTTCCACAACTGCGAGAATTTGACGGTGAGGAAGTCTGCGCGCAAGCAGGACTTGAATGATTTCACTTTGACGCTATAGGCATGGTTGCACAGATCGTAACAACTGTTTTGTTTGAACTGAAGTTCACCACTGGCTGTAAAAGTGTGTTTACGTAACACATTAAAGGAGAGTGTCAGCTTAATTTTGAGTCGTCCCATCGAAAGTGTTTCTAGACTTAGTGTTTCGCATCTGGAGCTGTAGTCCTGTTTACAATCATTTCCTAACAATCTGGCTGCGAAATACCTCTGGACACCCTGTATTTTATGTTTTTCTTTTATGCCGATATCACTCAGTATAAATGGACAGTATTCTAACAGTGGACGTACGCAAGTTTTGTAGGGTAGCAACTTGACTTCTTTGAGTGGAAGTTACGAACTATGCAACCCATCAGGATCCAGGTTTGCGAGTCGTGATGCTACCTGTCAGAAAATGTGGTCTCTTGATATCTTAGTCCAAGGTCATGCACACTTTTAAGAGCAGGAAGTTTCGTAGACTGAAGATGTAGTTGGATATCCACCGATGTAGCACCAAAACATACCCATCCACATTTGCCTACATTGAAATGAAGTTTCCAAGCAGCAGACCATGCGGATATTATATCGAGCTCCCTTTGTATTAGTGCTTGGAAGTGGGATTAATTATCACGGGTGAATGTGTATGCAACTTTTGTTCATCAGCAAACAAGAATGGTTTACCGTATGTAAAGCAGCTGCAGGTGTCATTGACGTATAGAGTAAAGAGAAGGGGACCTAATACACTGCCTTGAACAACACCAGAGGTGATTGGCCTAGGTTTTGAAGTGTGTGAATCTACCTTCACCACTTGAGTGCGATTACTGAGGAGAGACTTAATCCATCCCAGTAGTAGATAGTCAATTCCCATAGTCATCAACTTACCTATTAACAGCAAGTGATCGACTGTGTCAAGTGCCTTTGAAATGTCTAGACGGAGTACAAGGACTAATTGGTGTCGGTCAAGCATAGTGGTTATGAAGTTAAAGAAGTCAAGATGGCAAGTTATACAGGACCTCGATTTTAGGAACTCATGATGACTCGATGTGATGTTGCCACTAAGCATGTGCTGAAGAATTCTTTCCCTAGCAACTTTCTCCATAATTCTAGAAACTACAGGCGTAATATTTATTGGTTTGTAGTTACTGGCTAGTGTTTTTGAACCAGATTTATATCTAGGGAAATAAATGATGTTTTCTACATATCAGGGTATGTGAAAGATTCCAAAGAGAGAGAAAATATTTTAAGTAATAATAATGGAATATCAGGGCCACCAAATTTAAAGAAATGTGGTGATATTCCGTCTGTGCCAGCTCTGCTGGAGCATTTTAGCGTCCTAATGGCTTGGTGAATATTAGAGTGTGTGAATTCAACTGTATCTATTGTCGTTATTTGAGGAGAAGAATAGCTTTTAGAAGTGCAGACCGCATTAGTGTCACAAGAAAAATGTATAGGTTCCAGGTAACTGACTGCAAATAAGTCGCTGAATATTTCACACATATCCACTGGATCATTATAAGCTTTGGTATCACGGATAAAAAGAGGAATTTTATGTCATGTGCAATTCGATCCCATCTTAAAGAGTGTTGAGAGAGCATATACTCTAGTGCATGACTCTCTACATCCTTCAAACGCAAATCATGGTTATGCGAGATAGAGTTAAGAATACCAAGAATCAGCCGAAGTGCATCGACGTCGTGATGTCTATAGTATATTGTTGAGAGTTTGCGTAACTTTCTACGAGCTTGGGAGGTATATATGGTTTATTGTTCGGTAGCATTTTTTGAGACCTTTCAGTGGAACGATGGTATCGAGACAGGTTTTAGAGTTGTAGTAAAACATATCAGCGGTTAATTTGAGGTCTGTGGTGGTGAAGAATGATCCCCAGTCAATGCACCTAATCATTAGACACATCTGCTGCCAATCCGTTCTATCGTAGTCTCTACATATTATTTGGTGTATAGTGGAAGTATCAATTGAAGTGCTAGTTGCAGGAAGTAGCAGTGCGCATAATACCTTATTATGATCACTTCCTGAGAACTTGGAGCCTACATGTCTCAAAATAGGATTTATGTTGTGGCAAAATACTAAGTCAAATACATTGTCACCCCTTGTAGGAGTTGTAACAATTTGCTTCCATCCAAAAATAGACAGCGTATGGAAAAAGTTATCACACCTAGCCGGGCCACTAAGTGAATCCCATTTAATTTCAGGTAAGTTGAAGTCAGCGCATATGATCTTATGATCATATGGGGGAGTGGATGCATGTTCCAGAGCCGTAATCAGTGGAATCTCATGATTGTTAAAGGTACCAGGTGCTCCGGTCATATCGGAATTGTGTATACATATCAATACTTATCTCTTCGTCTAGTATATTTGCGTGACACCAAGACTCAGCGATAATTATTACCGGTGGCTTATATGTGAGCGCTATTCCTCTTAATACCGATAGTCTGCTGAGGACGGACCCCGCGTTTATGAGAACGATATACAAGTAGGAGGAGTAATATTGTGCAAAGCTTTCTAGTCCGCTAAACAAGCCGGAAGTTATCTCAGCGCCGCTTGACTGAGTATAGTCTGACGTCGTTGCGTCACAGAACGTCTCTACACCTTGTTCGCTTGTAGCTATCAAGTTACCAGGATATCCTAGTGATAAATCAACCGCTCAGTGACTTGAAATAGTGTCACCCTTGTCAGGGGAGAATAGAGCAATGTTTTTATTTGTGTTCAGTGTGCACATTGCGTCCAAATAGATAGAGTTTGACCTCATGCAAGCGTCGTCTCTGGTATCTGTTATACAGATGGTAGGTAGTTTTACTATTGTACGCGGTGGGTGTGTAGGGCTGGTGATACCACTTGGAGGATTCAACAGACCTGTTGTGCTTTCGCTTCTGTCGACACCACTTGGGTAGTTGGTGCCTAGGATTCATGTGTATGTTTGGCTGTGTCTTTTTTGTTACTCCGAGGGCGCTAAGATTAGCGGTTCAGAGCAAGGGATCTCAACATCCGCATCAGTTGTTTGGCCAAAGCTGCAGCTGATAGGGATGCATTGGATAAAAAATCATCGTGTTTTTGTGGTCCATGCAAACTTCTGTTCTGCGTTGTGTTCCCTGCTAGTGGCTGCCTTCGGTTACAATTCACAACGGACGTAACTGGCTTTGTGTTGAATCGAGGGCTGTCTCCTAGTAAACTAGTGCCATGCAGCCGACCAAAGTTTTTCCTCATAAAGTACCCCGCTGACATTCTATTATAGGTGGTTTGATGTTGGCTTTTCTCATTAGTAAGCGATAGGGTTAGGTTGTTGTGACGCCTATTTTTGTTCTCGTTACTAGTGAGACTTAACTGAGTGCATAGGACCTTCTTGGTAGAGCTACTGTCCGTACTTCTGTCAATTCCAGAAGGGATTATGGGATCACTTCGGATCATTATATGCTTTTTG